TTGTGGCAGCCCGTGGGGTGCCCCCACCAGCCGGACACTCCTGAAGCGGCGTCCTGCCCACTCCCCTGCCCGCACCCCATCCCAGGAGGAGAGCTGCACGCTCCACGGGGGAATCCACCCTGCCCAGGCAGCTCCTTTGCAAGCAAGAATTGTGTGTGGAAGAGGGAGCCATGGGGGCAGCCGGACAAGGCGGCGCAGTGGGAGCACAGGCTCTGCAGCCCTGGTTCTGACGGGGTTTGGCCCCTCTGAAAAAAATCTGAGCAGCTTGGTTCCCACACGCAGGGGCAGGGCTGGGCACTGCCAACTCCCCGCACTGCACAGTCCCCAGAAGGAAGCCCACAGGCAAGGGGCACTGGAAGGGGAGCAAAGAGCTGCAGCAGCAGCAGCCTTTGGAGGAGCCTGCGACCTGCCCACTCAGGTGGGCTCTCACCCTCCCACCCCTGCCCAGGGGAGACAGCAAACCACCCCCCCACTCCCCCGAGCTGAGCCCACCCACTGCTGCAGGAACTCCAGGCCCAAACACCCCTGGCCTTGCGTTGAGGGGGTGAGGCTCCCCTGCCTGTTTTGGGGGTGTGGGGGCTTTTCAGGACTTATTGAAGGCTGCCAGGACAGCCCAGATCATCTCTGTGCTCCTGGCTTTGGCAGCTTCCACCTCGGGGTCCATATCAAGGAGGTCCTTGGTCCTGTTCATTGCCACATCGTACTTGTCATCTGCCAGGCTGGCAAAAACGTTCTCTAGCACATCTGAGGAGTGAGCCAGCACCAGGAGAGCCAGAGTCCTGCGGTCCATGCGGTGGGGATCATTCACCCACCGCTCCAGCATGCTCTCCTGGAGCTTCTTCACCAAGCGCTGCTTCTCGGTCGTGTTGCTGACAGGGTGGGTGGTCATGTCAAAGAGCAGGAAGTTCTGCTTCTCCGTGGTGAGGATGCCCTTCTCCACCAGCGCCTTGGCAATGCGCTCACGCACGTTCCTCAGCTGGTACTGCAGCTTGAAGGGGTTCCAGGTCTCCCCTGCAGAAAAGACCTCATTCAATGCCGGGGCAGCAATGGCTTTGACACCCAACCCCAGCAACCAGGCTGCTTCCAGCCCAGGACCCTCTGGGCTTGCATGGACACCAATCCCTGCTGCAGGAACCCTCTTCCTCCACCAGCACCTGACTCTGACCTGCTTCTACCATCAATCCAAGCTGGCAAAGCTCCCAGCAGCCACAGGGCTCAGCAGCCTGGGGCAGATCCCTTTGGAAAGCCCCTTCTACCCAGGACCTTGGACCCCAGACTTGGTGAAGACTCAGCATGAAACAAACAGGCAACGGGGAGCAAGGTCCAAGTCTTCCACCGAGCCCCAAGAAAAAAGACCCAGAAAACCATTCTCTGCCCCCACACTCAGTCTCCCCCTGTTCTGCTGTCAGTGTTCTGCCCATCTCCAGTGAAGCAAGGGGACAGCCAAGCCATGGAGAGGGGACATGCAGCAGAGACGGGCCCCGAGGGAGCTAGGGAGCTGGGGAGCTGGTGTCTCTAACTGGCCCTACCAGTGAGCAGCTCTATCCAGGTCTGCACTGTTTCTGCAGACTCCGTGGCCCTGATGTGTCGGAGGGTCTCATCCAACAAAACATCACCAGTTGGCGCATCTGACTTCAAGAGCACCTGGAAGGACAAAGTAGAAACATGGTGTAAGGCTGGACACAGACCGTTCCTGAAGGAACAGCAACGGCCTTGGTGTGCCGCACTGCTTCAGCAAAGTTCGCTGCCAGTGGGCTCGACTAGGGTAGATGGAGCC